TATGGGACAGCAGGTGATCGAATTTGAATATTGAAACAATGAGACAGACAGCAAAGGTTATACAAATCTCCAGTGTTGAAAACTAAATGGTAGTCTAAAAGAAATGTGAGATAATGTCTTGATGCTTTTTATAGTGGAGATCAAGTGTATAAAGTGCCTGACTGGATTGAAGAGACAGTGTAAATAGGCATTTTAACGTCATAGATTTAGCTGGTGGTAACTTCTGGAATAGACACCGGCTGGAATGCGATTTTAACCGATTAGCATTCAGGATTAGACCCACCCGGTGTATAAGTGATTTTAACCAATTATGAGTAGGCATTGCCTACTAATTGTCTATTAATTGGTTGATGATGTCATCAGAAACACTTGTCTTCTTTTTTAACAAAAAACATAGAAACACACCATTTTCACATATGTTGATCTTGGAGTGGTGCTGGAGATTAACAGTAGAAAACTATTTGGCTTACTATAAATCAGAAGGCTGTTTTACGTTTTCTTTTTTTTTAATGCTCTTTGTCTATGGTAAAAAGACAATCCACAGAAATCGGTGCACCTCCATATGAATATGATTGAATATTCAATATGGTCCAGGTGATTATGTAACGGCTCTATATTCTCTGCAGCATCACATACAGTATTTGTATAATCACAATGTCACATCATATTAGCATGTTTCACATTCATGAAGGGAGAAAATGTTGTTTACTGTTCAATCTAACATCAAATTCATGGGCCATGCAGTAGGTATTCGGTATCTGTATCTAAAGCGTACATCACAGGAGTAGTACCAGGCCTTGCAGGGTAAAATGGCAGACCTGATCTGCATGAGTCACTAGCTGCCCACTAGAGGGCACTGCAGACTCTTCCAAGCTTTTGACGTTGACAGGCTACACACTGCATGCTCCTTTCCAGCAGACTGGCCTTATAATGATGGATTCTCCCAGGATTAGCGAAGCAATACACATTTTAAGAGACAATGGAATATTCCATCTCTTACTTTTTAGAAGCTTAGATCGCTTCTTTTTAGCTATACAAAATGCTGTATCTGACACACTGGTGAAAAATGTGAGCATTTTCACAGAGTTAGCCATAGGCCTACTTGTGCCTCCCTTCATCCATTCATAATCTATATTCTTAGTTTTTAGAGAGAAGCTTTGGGAGCATTTCTCATGGAGATCTATAGATATAGGCCAGGCAGTGTATACAGACAGTGTATACAGCATATTTCTGATGGGCACCACGGTGGCATGACGATGGGCATGGAGGATAACCTCAGGCTTTCCATTACCCAACTAGGCCTGCAGCCTGGCTATTAACACCTATCACAGTGGTAATCTCACAAGGCTGCGGCTCACACAGACCTGTCAGAATTACCTCCACTCAATGTCACAGAGAAAACAATTAGAGAGAAACTGTAAGGACACCCCTCACTGTGGAGGATTTCTATCAGACACTAATTGGTGTGAAACTCTTCACTAGGCCTTTGGAATAGGAAAGACATAAGCATTGTGGATTGGAATAAGAAAAACAAATTCTTTATAAAAATAAAAATAAACTCCAAGTAACTGCAACATTCTACTGTAACCTTCAGCACGTCTAATAGAAATTGCTGTAATTTTGAATTAACAGATTCCAAGCTACAAATGAAAAAGTTCACTGCACTTAAAGAATATGGTAAGTGACTGATTGGAATGTTAATGAAAATCTCACAACTTTTTATTCCAGACTGTTACACCTGTTTCCCACTGGGCGCAGACGTCATTTCAACATCTAGTTTTGATTTAATTTTGGTTGATTTGTCAACTAACGCTAAATCTATGTGAAATCAACAAAACATGTCACCATGTTATTGGATTTAGGTTAAAAGTTGGGTGAAAAAACGAATTCCCTTACATTGATTACTTTTTGCAAATTCCATGTTCATTCAATGTCATTACATTACATTTTTGGGTTGCAATGATGTAGAAACAACATTGATTCAACCAGTTTTTGCCCAGTGGGCTGTCTCCATTGGTTACAGGGGAAGTTAAGGAAACACTGTGTTCTGAATCTGGAACATCAATTCATCAAATCAACACTCAGACACACAGGGCATTGTCTCATCCACAACAGTGTCTCATCCACAATGTGATGAAAATGGGCTCTCATTGCAGATCAAACTTCTTTGTATTTGAGCTGAATTCAATTACTTCAAAGAAACAAAATATATATTTTTTCTTTTACTAAACTGAATGAGCATATTCATGTAGAGGAGTAAACATAATTATTCTGGCTGAACCAAAGGTTTTCGAACATAGAGAGTACAGGCAGACCACACACAAAAAAATCTTGGTAACGAACAAACAACCCCCAAAACAGTTACTCTTAGATGGTCAGTTTATATTTTTGTAGCAGTTGCAATCTGTTGAGGCAATAAAAAGTTTCACAAGTCTTTAAAACACATTGTCTAGCAACAAAAAGGTTACTGACATTGTTCAATACAGTTTGTCAGGTATGCCTACTTTTCACAAGGACTGTCTGTTTTCAGATGCTTACTAATTAGAAGAGGGATCATTGTAGGATATGTTGAACAATTTGGGGGTTTGCATCATTTATTAATTGTTCAAGCATCTGAAGATGACCAAGATATTTAAAAATGATATGTAGGGGAGACCAGGGCTTGTTGTCACGACTTTCAAGATTTCTTATTTTGGTAACACTTTATTTGGATAGTCCATCTGTAGATGCTCTACAGACTATCAGTAAAATTTCAACTACTAACCCTAGCCCTAACCCTTACCCTAACTCTAACCTTAACCCTTATTTTAAACCATACCCTGACCCTAACTGTAACCTTAGCAAGCAGTTGTTTTCCAACAGATAGACTATCTAAATAAGTGTGACCCTTTTTTTCTCCTCAATTCAGCTTTAGTGTGTAGCCTACCACCATTTGTTTCACTTTGATTTAAAGAAGAGTTGTTCATGCATTACTGGGCAATTAAATATTTGTTTATCTATGTTGCCACATAATCAAAGGAGGGCTCGTTATGAAACCGTGTGTCATGCTGGGGGAAACCACTTCACGTTCCATCTTTTTGACGGATAAACACGCACACTGGATCATCAGCTCCACTGTTGATAACTGTACACCCCGTTGATATCGAGAAGTTGGAGGAAATCCAACAAGGATAAAGGGGATCATTTTCTTAGATGGTGATGAAAGACATTCACCTGTGACAATTTCAATATTCAAAGCTAGGGATATGAAGTGGCTAAATACATTCCATAAACACCAAAATACAAAGATCTGAAGGTATACATTTTAGTACATTTTCTTATAGTTACGAGGTCAGTGACAACTTCCGTTTCTCTGTGGATATTCCGCTCCTGGTCTCCCCTATTTCACATAGCAACAACATGACTACACAAAGTCAACATTTTAGTGTGTAGACCAGAAAATTAAGGTGAAAAAAAACCTACATGTAAAGTCTCTTCCATAATGTTGCTGCTTTAAGTGACATCCACATCTGCACATAAAAAGTATATATTTATATTTATATAATATATATTCATACTCTATTAACAGTCTACCATGAACATAATTGCCAACCCTCTCTGGAAAAGAAAACGAACTTTCTCAAACATTGATTATTTTACAACACAGACCCAACTAATTTGTACATCTTTGGAGGGAATTAAGCTCTCAAAGATCTTATTTTCGTCTACTGGTAATGTTCCAGTCTTGTTACAGTGTATATATAGCTTTATTCCATTAAAACACATAAAAAAAGCATTTACAAACTGGAATCATTAGAACCAACGACTTGCTGTTGAACGTAAACTTCAACAGAAGTTCAACGTTACCCCTCGGCTTGGAGATAACCATGTTTGGCACATTTAAAAACTGACCATGAGCACAGTTCACTAGGAGGCTTGTGGAGGAACAAACTTGTTTTCATGTAGATATGGTTTGACAAACAAAATTGCATGGCGTGTTAGGAAATCAAAAGTATTTTGAGTATATCTACAGTCCATCCGTAAACTGTTTTAGGCAGTGGAAGAGCACCAAGGGAGTGGAATGATGCTGTTGAGCTGGTTAACTCGTTTAGTTCCACCAATTCACATCATCAGATTAGCAATAACTTTAACATTCTTTCTTAATTTTTCTGCTAAAACATATTTGCTTGTATTGGTTTGTTTGTGTGCAGATATTGTACTCTCCATTATCCCCCCAGAATGTAACAGACAGATTGACGTTATGTTGAGACACTGAGGGAAGGGACACAGGCCTTTGTGTAATATACACAATGCACTTGTATCTCTGTAATGTACATCAAATACTTAACACCAGAATTCTGAATTAAAAAAGTAGAAATAAAAAAGGAATCGTAACAAATCAAAAGATACAAAGTCTAGAAGCAATTCCTTTGCCCAGAGAGGACACTCCTTACATACAACACAGGTTGAAGCCGTAAGTTAATCCTAATAAGAGTTTGTGACTGACAACTATTCTCTAGCTTGTGTATGACACTTCATTTTCTTGTGCTTCACATACTAATCCCTTTACTATACCACATATTTACAGTTGTCTTCTGTCTAGAATACTCCTGATCATCTCCAAAATATTCCGCTCCTCACACTTCAAAGCTCCAAGCTTCTGGTGGTGACCCCATCATTTAACGCCTTCCTTTTGCCTTTTGTGAGTCGTTTCCTTACAAGATCATACTCTTTCTTTCTTCCTCTCTCTCTTTCCCTCCCTCCTTCTCTCTTTCCGACTCTCTCTTTCTATCCCTTCTGCTCTGTGACTCTCTCTCTCTCTTTCTCTCTCGTTTTCTTTCTTCAAAGACACATGGGCGTGGGACCTCTCTCTCTCTAGGACAAACTAAACTCGCTGAAAAAATGTATTGTGGTGTGCATGCAAACATGCATGGCCTGTCTGTCTTACTCTCTCTTTCAGCTCCTCTACCCCCATCATAGCACAGCACACTGCTGACGACCAGTCCTTCCTCTACAGTCCACTAGACCCAGGAGTCCGGGGAGGCCGGGTAGTGACTGGTCTCATAGTTGAGTTCACTATAGGGGCGGGACGCTGAGTAGAAGTCCACATAGTTGCCGGTGGACTTGAGGCCCAGGTGCATGTTCAAGTCTGTGGCCTGGGGAGGGCGTTGGTGCACCTGGTCCTCGTAGAACGCCTCCTCAAACTGTACTCCAGGAGGGTTCTGGAACGGAGGGTAGGGCTCCTGGCCTGGGTTGGGGCCCTGGGAAGGGACCTAGGGAACACACACAGAGGTTAGAGCACTACTCTGCTACTGGTGAGACAGTAGACTCTTAGAAAAAAAGGTGCTATGTAGAACCTAAAAGGGTTCTTCGGCTGTCCCCATAGGAGAACCCTTTGAAGAACCCTTTTGGTTCCAGGTAGAACCTTTTTGAGTTCCAAGTAGAATCCTTTACACAGAGGGTTCTACATGGAACCCAAAAGAGTTCTACCTGGAACCAAAAATGGTTCTCCTATGGGGACAGCCAAAGAATCCTTTTGCAACCCTTTTTTCTAAGAGTTTACCTAGCAGTGAGCGTTGCTCTTGTAATGATATCAAGTAATTTCTTAAATCCTTACCTGGTTGTGTTTGATCTCATCACTGGGAGAGACGTAGGCACCTCGGAACAATGTTGAGGTTCCACTTGAGATTTGAACTACAGGTGGGAGAGAAACAGAGAGAAGGTATGTGGTCATTGTTGCCAAGTTGATTATTATGAAACAAAAAGGCTTCACGCTGGTTTTACAGTACACATCATCTGATGAAAACACACTGAATCCAGAAACGAGGAGGAAGCTGACGGAGGCACTGAAACTCCTTCCTACCTGCCATGGCATCTTTTCTCGAAGTGTGCTCACCCTTGTTGCCATGGTAACTGGCATTGGTGCCCGTCGACTCGTAGTCTGTCTTCCTCTCCTTGATGCTGACCATCTCTCGGGGAGAGGCAGGGGCACTTGCTGCAAACACACAGATGACGCATCAGGTATATAATTAGCGGTAAAAGACGTTTGACATCCATTTAAGTCCCTTCGTCATGTATATATATATGAACAAATATATAAACGCAACATTTTACTGAGTTACAGTTCATATAAGGAAATCAGTCAATTGAAATAGATTCATTAGGCACTAATCTATGGATTTCACATGACTGGGAATACAGATATGCATCTGTTGGTCACAGATACCTTAAAAAAAAAGGAAGGGGCATGGATCAGAAAACCAGTCAGTATCTGGTGTGACCACCATTTGCCTCATGCAGCGTGACACATCTCCTTTGCATAGAGTTGATCAGGCTGTTGATTGTGGCCTGTGGAATGTTGTCCCACACCTCTTCAATGGCTGTGCGAAGTTGCTGGATATGGGCGGGAACTGGAACACGCTGTTGTACACATCGATCCAGAGCATCCCAAACATTTTCAATGGGTGACATGTCTGGTGAGTATGCAGGCCATGGAAGAACTGGGACATGTTCAGCTTCCAGGAATTGTGTACAGATCCTTGCGACATGGGGATGTGCATTATCATGCTGAAACATGAGGTGATGGAGGCGGATGAATGGCACGACAATGGGCCTCAGGATCTTGTCACGGTATCTCTGTGCATTCAAATTGCCATCGATAAAATGCAATTGTGTTCGTTTTCTGTAGCTTATGCCTACCCATAACATAACCCCACCGCCACCATGGGGCACTCTGTTCGCAACGTTGGCATCAGCAAACCGTTTGCCCACACGACGCCATACATGCTGTCTGCCATCTGCCAGGTACATTTGAAACCGGGATTCATCCGTGAAGAGCACACTTCTCCAGCATCCCAGTGGCCATCGACGGTAAGCATTTGCCCACTGAAGTCGGTTATGACGCCGAACTGCAGTCAGGTCAAGACCATGGTGAGGACGATGAGCTTCCCTGAGATGGTTTCTGACAGTTTGTGCAGAACTTCTTCGGTTGTGCAAACCCACAGTTTCATCAGCTGTCCGGATGGCTGGTCTCAGACCATCCCACAGGTGAAGAAGTCGGATGTGGAGGTCCTGGGCTGGTGTGGTTATACATGGTCTGTGGTTGTGAGGCCGGTTGGATGTACTGCCAAATTCTCTAAAACGACGTTGGAGGAGGCTTATGGTAGAGAAATTAACACACAATTCTCTGGCCACAGCTCTAGTGGACATTCCTGCAATCAGCATGCCAATTGCACGCTCTCTCAAAACTTGAGACGTCTGTGGCATTGTGTTGTGTGACAAAACTGCACATTTTAGAGTGGCCTTTTATTGTCCCCAGCACAAGGTACACCTGTGTAATAATGATGCTGTTTAATCAGCTTCTTGATATGCCACACCTGTCAGGAGAAATGCTGACTAAAAGGGATCTAAACAAATTTGTGCACACATTTGAGAGAAATAAGCTTTTTGTGTGTTTGGAACATTTCTGGGATCTTTTATTTCAGCTCATAAAACATGGGACCAACACTTTACATGTTGCGTTTATATTTTTGTTCAGCATAAGATCCTCCCACTCTTGTACATTAACACATTCTGTTGAAACAGGTCAAGGAAAGCTGACAGTGAAGCAGCTGATGACATCATCAGAGAAAACATGCATGTAATGAAAACAAATACATAGACCTAACTATATACTGGTCTAACATCCACAAATGACTCTTCTGTGAAATCTTTACTCAGAGAATGTATTGCTTTCTAATAGGATACATTAAGTTCAGTATTTCCACTTTGATGTTCATTAAACTCCAATTAGAGCACCCTGTAACATAAAATGTCCTGAACAAAATCAACAAACACCCTCTCGTCCAAGAAAATCATTTTATAATCACCATTAAACGCAGCCAAAGGCTACAGTACCAAGTTATAGGTTTCAATAACAGCAGTACCAATACCTCGTACATTTACATTTTAGTCATTTAGCAGATGCTCTTCCCCAAAGTGACTTATAGTCAGTGCATTTTGACGACTATTCAAGTTTAGTAGGTTTATTCTGCCCCTAGAGCTAACTGTGTCTCCCATGGGCTCTCCTATGAGGCTGCTGTGGTGAGGAACAGAGCCTGAGCTGTGGCATTCAAACTAAAAACATTTGCTTGGTGTGTGTCATCTGAGTCATCCCCCAGCCTCCTCCTCCTTTCCTCTTCTCTCCTTTCATCTCAAAGGGTAAGTGAGTAACTGGCAGTTGCTTATTAGTGTCTGTGCACCTCCGTGTCTGGGCAGACACCACCTTAACCTTCATTCATCCTATCTTTTATCTGAAATATTACTACGTTTTCAGAATCTTTATGTCTGAAATGCATGGTCAAAATGTTCTGTGTTACTATGGCTATGTCTGGCAATTAAAGCTCTAAAGATGGGGTGTCAAACTCATTCCACGGAGGGCCGAGTGTGTGGGTTTTTGGTTTTTCCTTTCAATTAAGCCCTAGACAACCAGGTGAGCGGAGCTCCTTACTAATTAGTGACCTTAATTCATCAATCAAGTCCAAGGGTGGAGCGAAAACCTGCAGACACTCAGCCCTCCGTGGAATGAGTTTGACACATGTGCTCTAAAGGATGATCAGCCTCGTGAGTTTGCAAAATATGTCCAGTATTTTAAAACTATGGGGTAAAGAGAGAATACACCTACACACTGACATGCATACTACTTGTCCACCAAATGGTCCTGATCCTGGGTGTCTGTCAGTAGTGGCTTGATGGAGTGAGAGGGCAAAGGAAAGACAACAGTGGACTCACCTGATCGATTATTGGGAGATGTCCGTACAGGCGAGATGGATGGGGTGCGGGATGAAGAGTATGGTCTTTGTCTATCTCTTTCTATTGTAGAGGATGAGCCAACAAAATTATACTGAGAATATCCATCCTGGGGGAAAATAAGATGCATTAGGGAACTTTCTAGCTATAATGAACTGCAACATACTATATTATGTACTGAATGATCATACTCAATGATCTAAGATAATCTCGTCAAATAGCAAATGAAACTATCTTCACATTAAAACGAGGCAAAATAGAACAGGAGGATGTTACGAGAATGACTGTCTATCCATTTTAGTAAAGCATGCAACACCAGTTTTTCTCCCCCTCTCAAAAGCCTTTAAACCCTCTAATTCTTAATCTGTCTTGTTCCATTAAAGCATGTTTGTCTCCTCTCCTCAGGTCAACATTGATAGATTCTTTAGTTCATTCAACTGCAGCCCAGAGGGATTCAAGCTTTACTCTCACTATAAATTATTGCACTTGTGTTGCTTAGTGAGCTTACTGAACTGTCACGCATGCACTGCTGTACAGTTTTTGCCATTTACTCTCTCTCTCTCTCTCTGAGATCAGAGAGATAGAGAGAGCGAGAGCGATAGATAGAGAGCTCTCTCATCTCTCTCTCTAGACTCTCTCTCTCTCTCTCTCTCTCTCTCTATCTCTCTCTCTCTCATCTCTCTCTCTCTCTCTCTCTCTCTGTCCTTTTAATAAGAGCATAAAAACCAACTCAAGAGACTAATGTGTTAAACTTTCAAGAGCTCCTTCAGCAGATGTCTTGTGGTGGCAGCAAGTTATTTGTATTACACACCTTTTTGTAGAGGCTGCGAAGGTCTCTGTACTGCCACATACCGTTGAGGACTTGAGAGGCTGCTTTCACCACTTTAGGTGTGTGTCTGGGAAGAGAAAAACAAAACGTAATTTTACTCAGATGACTAGAACCAAATGTTCAAAACAAAAGGTTTGGAATGCTCGCTGCTAGATGAAAGATCACCAGTACAAAAACATCATTTTTCAGACACAAACATTCAAAGCGAACATAAAATGGAAACAAGGTAACTCTGTACTTCAGCACCATTGTCATTTTTGCACAAAAACAAGACAAATCTGAAATGGAAAAAGCAATTAGCAGAGATAAAGCCAATCAGCTTAGCATCAGAGGCCCTCTCTCTCACATAGCACCTCTCCTCTATCTCAGCACAGCAACTCCACGAGCCACAACTGTCAGCGCCAGAGGTGATTCAATTAACCAAGCATCCTTCATTCTGATTCACACCAGAGATATGGAATAATCAAAAGTTATTACATCATAGCACTGCAGATATAGCAACACTTCTCTTCTCTCAAGACTCTTAAAGAAGATTTTTCTCTTAAGCCCAGATAACACATTTCTTCTCTTTGGGGCAATATATTCTTACAATTGGACAGAGTCTGTTGTCCTTGGCAACGTTAAGCAAGTGCATCACAGGACTAAGTGGAGAGGTAGCCAAGGTACAACACAATTAAGTTACCTTGCTAATTGCAAACTAAAAGCTTATAAGGGAAATTTGTGCTCATAAAATCCCAAACGAGAAAACATAAAAACCACAATTATCTACCTTTAAAAGGCATTTATCTACAGTGGTGAGTCGTAGACAACACATCATAATAACATCTACTAAAGTGAATTAAGAGGGAAACGAACAGAACCTTAGTATGTACTTACAGCTCCCGTGTCCCAATCAGCAGTTACATTAATGCTACAATCCATATACAATTACTAGCTGAGCAGGATGGCTGTGTGTTGGTGTTAGGGTTGAAGTTTAGAGTGAACATAGTCTCTTGTGACAGTGTGTTAAAATGTTATACACAGTAGAATAGCTGGACAGCAGGCATGCAAGCTTTTGCTCTGGGTTCCCAGATTAGGGTGAGCACAGCATGACTTCTGGACACCTACTTGTCTCCTTTGCTTCTGGCGATGCCGATGAGTTTCTCGATGCCTCCAGCGTCACGCAGAGCCTTGGTGTTCTCCATGTTCTTAGTGATGACCTCGTGCAGGGCACAGCAGATAGCCGTGATAGTGTCGTCTGACATGGTCTTCCCAATAGCACTGGCAGCAGTCCCACCACTGCTGTTGTTGTTGTTGCCCCCGGGCAAACGGTGGACCAAGTCTCTCATTGCGTACTTGCCTGTTGTGGAAAGAAAAACACCTCATGGTTAGTTATACTGTACATGAACATTTTAATATATGTGCTATTAGGGAACAGATTAGAAAACCATGGATGCAGAAGGACAATATTCTTCTATAAATACATATATATGTTCTCCACTAAGCAGTGTTCTGTTTGTGACCAAAATACCTTCCCAGTCACAACAGCAAGAGAGGGGAAAAGGTAGCAAATGGTCAGGATAGCAGAAACTGATAAAGACAAGCAGTATTTACTATACTTCATACTTCACATGATCTAACCTTGTCACTACTCAGTGGACAGCAGGAGAGCCTTCAAGGTCAGAGATGTGCACAAGACCCTTGTCCTATAAAGGCTACGTCCCTAATGAGCAGTGAGCGATTGAGCTAAAGAGGATTTCTTGACTTGACAGAAAAACAATAAATACGGCATTTCATACTGAGGCATCCACTTGAAGAAGAAGAAAAAAGACAGGATATACGTATGGGAACGATGCTTTAGAATATATATAATACAATCCCTATGGGACAAGAGAACTAGGGCATAAGAAAGGGATAGCGAGAATGATAGAGGAAGAGAGAGAAAGGAAGGATGGTATCAGCATGTGAAATGCGAGAGAGAGAGAGAGAGAGAGAGAGAGAGAGAGAGAGAGAGAGAGAGAGGGAGACAATGAGAGAGCAATAGAGAGAGAAATTCAGAGAGCAGTGCTTTTAATAATTCACAATACAGCCTCAAACTCCCAGACTGACATTTACAGCTATATGACGAGGGCTTAATACATCCATCTTCTGCTCAATGGGGCTTTTTTAATACCCCACTAAGCACTCATACTCTACTGTAGGCCTGAGGACACAACATTTGTAGCTGGGATGGAAATATCAAACCCCTTGACACCTCCCAGGTAATGGCATTTTCATAGAAAACACTAATATTTTAAAGGGAGGCCTGGGAATGAGAACGACTAAGAATGTCTAGTCCTGCCAGCGCACAATCGCTTTTGTGTGATTCATAGTATAGTCTTCAAAGCATTAGGAACAACACAACATGTGTTTGTAATCAGTGGTGTAGTGGAGGGTAAACGTAAGTAAATACAGTTTACGCACCTTTTTTTGTACCACTACATCACTGTTTGTAATGTAGATAAACAAAGAGGGTGAAGATAATTTGAGCTGATGATTACCACAAAGTTCATATTCCAAGTTACAGGTAATACATACTTTATACATGCTGTGTGTAATAGTGGCTATAACGTCAATGACATGCTAATAACGAAATCCCCCATAATCATTACTTTACAAGGCTATCAGAAGCGTCAGATTTAGCGAGACATAACACTGTCTTAACATGATATAAGCATGTAAACAGATAATTGTGTGTTACTACGCTTTATTCTACCAACACAGAGTTGGGTGTCTGAAGGCCTGCGGCTCTATGACATGATACACACATCTACTTAGCACGTAGCACCAGCCTGAGAAGGCAAGAGCAGTTGCTATGGAGATGCCTAGGTCCAACAGAACATCTCGTTTATTAGAGAGATCAATTGTCTTTTAGTGCTGTCATGAGGAGAATTTCAACCACAGCCCACAAAGAGAGCTCTGCAGTGCACACCCATCTTAGAGAGGCTACAGAGAGGTGCACACATTCTCTATGGGGCACACATACAGTGCATTCGGAAAGTATTCAGACCCCTTGACTTTTTCCACATTTTGTTACGTTACATCCTTATTCTAAAATGGAGTAAATGTTTTTTTTTTCCATCATCAATCTAAACACAATACCCCATAATGACAAAGCAAAAACAGGTTTTTAGACATTTTAGCAAATTTCTAAAAACATTTAAAAAATATGTATCACATTTACATAAGTATTCAGACCCTTTACTCAGTACTTTGTTGAAGCACCTTTGGCAGCGATTACAGCCTCAAGTCTTCTTAGGTATGACACTACAAGCTTGGCACATCTGTATTTGGGGAGTTTCTCCCATTCTTCTCTGCAGATCCTCTCAAGCTCTGTCAGGTTGGATGGGGAGCGTTGCTGCACAGCTATTTTCAGATCTCTCCAGAGATGTTCGATTGGGTTCAAGTCCGGGCTCAGGCTGGGCCACTCAAGGACATTCAGAGGCTTGTCCCGAAGCCACTCCTGACTGGTCTTGGCTGTGTGCTTAGGGGCGTTGTCCTGTTGGAAGGTGAACATTTGCCCAGTTTGAGGTCCTGAGCAAGGATTTCTCTGTACTTTGCTCCGTTCATCTTTCCCACGATCCTGACTAGTCTCCCAGTCCCTGCTGCTGAAAAACATCCCCACAGCATGATGCTGCCACCACCATGCTTCACCATAGGGATGGTGCCAGGTTTCCTCCTGACGTGACGCTTGGCATTCAGGCCAAAGAGTTCAATCTTGGTTTCATCAGACCAGAGAATCTTGTTTCTCATGGTCTGAGAGTCTTTAGGTGCCTTTTGGCTAACTCCAAGCGGGCTGTCATGTGCCTTTTACTGAGGAGTGGCTTCCGTCTGGTCACTCTACCATAAAGGCCTGATTGGTGGAGTGCTGCAGAGATGTTTGTCCTTCTGGAAGATTCTCCCATCTCCACAGAGAACTCTGTGGCCATCGGGTTCTTGGTCACCTCCCTGACCAAGGCCCTTCTCCCCCGATTGCTCAGTTTGGCCGGGCGGCCAGCTCTAGGAAGAGTCTTGGTGGTTCCAAACTTTTTCCATTTAAGAATGATGGAGGCCACTGTTTTCTTGGGGACCTTCAATGTTGCAGACACAATCCTGTCTCTGAGCTCTACGGACAATTCTTTCGACCTCATGGCTTGGTTTTTGCTCTGACATGCACTGTCAACTGTGTGACCTTATATAGACAGGTGTGTGCCTTTCCAAATCATGTCCAATAAATTTAATTTACCACAGGTGGACTCCAATCAAGTTGTAGAAACATCTCAAGGATGATCAATGGAAACAGGATGCACCTGAAATCAATTTTGAGTCTCATAGCAAAGGGTCTGAATACCTATGTCAATAAGGTATTTCCGTTTTGTTTTTGTTTTTTTATTTGCAAACATTTCTAAAAACCTGTTTTCACTGTGTCATTATGGGGTATTGTGTGTATAATAAAAAAATTGGAAAAAGTCACAGGGTCTGAATACTTTCCGAATGCACTGTATATAAACGCATATGCATGAGCACGCTTACATCCTCGCACAAACGCACACACACACAAACGTGCATATGGAATGTATGAATGTAGAATATTGATTCACTGACAACTACACTTACCGATGAGTTCTTTGTTTCTGACGTCTAAGGCCATGTTTCTTAAAGCTGTGGCCACGGCACACACCACCCTGTCGTTGTCAATCCTCAGCAGCTCCACCAGGATGGGCAGACCCTTCTCTTTCCTCACCGCCGCACGGATATACACAGACCACTGGAGAGGAGAAAGAGAGGACTCAGTCACACTTCATCACATAAAACACACATCATTATGATCTATACATAGAACAACAACCAGAGTAGTATATCCCCCCCAACACCGCCAAATATAGTATTTCTCCAGCAGTACCTCATGCTTTCTTAATGTTACAGTGAGCTAAGAGCAACTAATGTCTAAGGCCGACTTGGTTTCTGCAAGTTCATCTTGACAGTTTGACAATGACAGTGTGGAAAGAAAATTGCTGCCGCTGGAGCAGCTCTGAGGAGGGAGAGCTTACTGTACTATGCTGTACCTTCCAGCTGCCTGCAGCCAGGTTCTGCAGAGCTCCGGCTGCCCCCTCCAAAGTGTCTGGGTTGGAGCACTCAGACAGGAGTGTGAGGTAGGGTTTGACGATGGTGGGGTGCCACAGCATCTGAATGCCTTTGGGTGGGTCAGCCGAGTCCGGGAAGGGCCCCACACCATCCCACTGGGTGACACAGGATGGTGGAATGTTACTACTTGTCAATACTACAGGCATAAGATGTGACATTAAACAGTTTGACAACGACACTTAGTTTACAGTGCCACTAAAAATTGCTTAAAGGGCGACTACACTACCTGATTTGGCCTCGTTTTAGATTTGGTTCATTAAGAAATGCTAGCGGCCATGACTAAATTCAAATGTTAGTTGGTTTCGGGGTGTGGTTTGATGTGGGTGTCTCGTGTGTGTGTTCGCAGGTGTGAAGAGTTAGCCAAATTATTTTGCCAATTAGCTTCATCCGGCTGGTGTGCGACTGCAGCAAAATTGGTTTGACTTTGGTTAGTTAGGTACTATCAATAAATTACACAATGTAAATGAGACAATATTTTCACGTTGCAAACCTTTTAGTTCTCATTAAATGCTTTAAAAAAATGTTTTACCAGCTATTGTTCAACCTGATCAGACAGGTTTTTTACATGGACGATACATTGGAGATAATATACAGTGGGGAAAAAATGTATTTAGTCAGCCACCAATTGTGCAAGTTCTCCCACTTAAAAAGATGAGAGAGGCCTGTAATTTTCATCATAGGTACACGTAAACTATGACAGACAAAATGAGAAAAAAAATCCAGAAAATCACATTGTAGGATTTTTAATGAATTTATTTGCAAAATATGGTGGAAAATAAGTATTTGGTCAATAACAAAAGTTTCTCAATACGTTGTTATATACCCTTTGTTGGCAATGACACAGGTCAAACGTTTTCTGTAAGTCTTCACAAGGTTTTCACACACTGTTGCTGTTATTTTGGCCCATTCCTCCATGCAGATCTCCTCTAGAGCAGTGATGTTTTGGGGCTGTCGCTGGGAAACACGGACTTTCAACTCCCTCCAAAGATTTTCTATGAGGTTGAGATCTGGAGACTGGCTAGGCCACTCCAGGACCTTGAAATGCTTCTTACGAAGCCACTCCTTCGTTGCCCGGGCGGTGTGTTTGGGATCATTGTCATGCTGAAAGACCCAGCCACGTTTCATCTTCAATGCCCTTGCTGATGGAAGGAGGTTTTCACTCAAAATCTCACGATACATGGCCCCATTCATTCTTTCCTTTACACGGATCAGTCGTCCTGGTCCCTTTGCAGAAAAACAGCCCCAAAGCATGATGTTTCCACCCCCATGCTTCACAGTAGGTATGGTGTTCTTTGGATGCAACTCTGCATTCTTTGTCCTCCAAACACGACGAGTTGAGTTTTTACCAAAAAGTTATATTTTGGTTTCATCTGACCATATGACATTCTCCCAATCCTCTTCTGGATCATCCAAATGCATTCTAGCAAACTTCAGACGGGCCTGGACATGTACTGGCTTAAGCAGGGGGACACATCTGGCACTGCAGGATTTGAGTCCCTGGCGACGTAGTGTGTTACTGATGGTAGGCTTTGTTACTTTGGTCCCAGCTCTCTGCAGGTCATTCACTAGGTCCCCCCGTGTGGTTCTGGGATTTTTGCTCACCGTTCTTGTGATCATTTTGACCCCACGAGGTGAGATCTTGCGTGGAGCCCCAGATCGAGGGAGATTATCAGTGGTCTTGTATGTCTTCCATTTCCTAATAATTGCTCCCACAGTTGATTTCTTCAAACCAAGCTGCTTACCTATTGCAGATGCAGTCTTCCCAGCCTGGTGCAGGTCTACAATTTTGTTTCTGGTGTCCTTTGACAGCTCTTTGGTCTTGGCCATAGTGGAGTTTGGAGTGTGACTGTTTGAGGTTGTGGACAGGTGTCTTTTATACTGATAACAAGTTCAAACAGGTGCCATTAATACAGGTAACGAGTGGAGGACAGAGGAGCCTCTTAAAGAAGAAGTTACAGGTCTGTGAGAGACAGAAATCTTGCTTGTTTGTAGGTGACCAAATACTTATTTTCCACCATATTTTGCAAATAAATTCATTAAAAATCCTACAATGTGATTATCTGGAAAAGAAATTCTCAATTTGTCTGTCATAGTTGACGTGTACCTATGATGAAAATTACAGGCCTCTCTCATCTTTTTAAGTGGGAGAACTTGCACAATTGGTGGCTGACTAAATACTTTTTTTCCCCACTGTATATAATGAATATGAACTAGGTGGGTTGAGATTATTAAATCTAAAAGCACTCAACCTCTCTCTAAAAGCTTCACTCATCCAAAAGTTTTACTTGAACCCTAAATGGTTCTCAAGTAGATTACTAAGAAATTCATTGAAAATGAAACTTTTTTTCAAAGTATCTCTCTTTTTCAAACAAGCATTGCAGAGCTGGCTACAATTTCAATTTCATCCCCCTGAAAAGATAGTACAAATATTACAACAAATATTATGGCTGAACTCAAATGTGCTGGTTGATAAAATACCTGTATTAAAAAGGGTATTTTGTTTTTAAATGATATTGTAAATTGGAGTTATCAGAATTGTATGGGAAGGTCTGCTCAATCCAAGATTACAACCAATTGATTACAGCATTACCCCAAAAATGGAGGAGGCAGGTGGCAGCGGGGGGAGATAGGGAACTGGTCTGTCTGCCCAATATAAAGGATCAAAACTGGAGGAGGAATAAAAATAGCATAAATAGGAAAGTATACCAGTTTCATTTCAGGACCAGGATGTTGACAGCTGTGCCATACAGATTGCAAAATAGTTGGAAATATATGTTTTATGTACCGATTCCATGGTACAGGGTGTACGAGTTGATATATAAAATGACGCAAGATTCAAGACTTCGTGCTTTTCAGCTAAAATTATTGTACATAATTCTTGCCACCAACAAAATGTTGAATATTTGGGGCATACAATCATCGCAGCTCTGCAGATTTTGTTGTGAGGATACAGAATCAATAGACTATTTGTTTTGGTATTGCCCTCAGGTAGCCTGTTTCTGGACTCAGGTTCAGGAATGGCTGAAAATGCATAACATTGATCTAAAATTGACCCTAGAAATAGTATTGTTGGGAGATCTGGAGAGGGTTCTCGGATGGTTGAGGGGCAGCTCTTGGGAACTGTGGGGGGGATCTTGGAGGGCTGGTGGCCTAGCGGTTGGGAGCTTGGGCCGGTGGCTGATGGGTCGCTGTTTCGGGTCCCTGTTTTTGACCTTATGGGAGATATGTCGACGTGCCCTTGAGCAGGGCGTTGACCTTGGTTGCTTCTGTGGGTTGCTCTGGATGGGAGTCTGTTAGATGACTAATGTGACGTAATGTTGAGCGGCTTCACTGCAAGTAGATTGTATGTTTTAAATATACAAAATAAAGTGCAGCTGCACTCCGAAATGTATGATTACTTGTGTGGTGCCAGCTGTCGGCATGTGGGCAGGATTAAAACAAACCCAACCTTAATTTACGTTGTGATGCAGTCACGACCACAAGACTCACAAAACTCAGTTTTGGACAAGACTGACTTTATGACCAAAATGATCCTATTTACACTTTGTAGTCATTTTCACAGTACAATAAATGTTTTTGACTCATATCGATGCCACATAGGCTGTTTTCTAAATGAGAAGTTGGTTTTTAGGGGCAGTTGTCTTTAATTATCAAAGAACAATGAAAATATTGAAAACACTTAATATGGTTGAGACATGAGTGACAAGGGAGTCACACATTCCTTTCTGAATTATTTACTTACAAGATAAACATTATTAAGAATGAGCATTCGGTCACATAACATCCCTGTAGCATATCTCACATACTAAATCATCCCCACCTTACCAACTGCATGAGCATCAAAAGTATGCCAGAGTAGATGATTTGTACCACCATTTCAATCACACTGAATTGCATAATCCAACTCAGTCAGATAATAATCAAACCTTGGCTTTTGCCAGTTTATTTTCCCAGGCAAGGCAGCAAAAACCAGAAGAAGACCCTCTTTCAGAACTAAACCAAGTAAATTTGTAATTATCCATGAGATGTAGACCCCCTCCCTAGCCAGATTCCAGCACCACTGCTGTAACACGCTGGCTAACAGCTAACAGCTGCAGTGGAGAGGAGAGGAACCCACCTGATCATGGGCCTTCTTTTTCTTCTTCTTCTTCCCCCAGCAACCAGAGCTCTCTGCATCCTTGCCGTTGGCATCACCACAAAGCAATCCGTCAAGCTCGTCTGTGCCTATCTGCTGTCCCTGAGATGTCTCTGCAGCTAGTCGATACGAGAGGTTCCTCAAAATGCACACACAGTTTTCAATGGTCTGCAAGGACAAAAGAGGGAGATGACGAAAGATAGAGGGAGGGAGTGGGGGAAAGGATAGAGGGGAGAGGAAGAGAGAGAGAGAGAGAGAGAGAGAGAGAGAGAGAGAGAGAGAGAGAGAGAGAGAGAGAGAGAGAGAGAGAGAGAGAGAGAGAGAGAGAGAGAGGAGAGAGAGAGGAGAGAGATCAAGAGATGAGAGCAGTATTTCAATTTGAGGCGTGCCATGAGATGATTTGCATGTCGGCCATGTAGTGATCAAAGTAAAGTTAAAGTGATAAGACTGTTTATTTCCTCCAATGTAAGCGGACAGGATGCTATAAAGATGCTATAAACTGGGGCAAATGCATGAGTCAAATATCTGTCTGTTGCTGTTTGCTTTCGAATAGACAGCGCAAGCAATGCAATATGCCATGGCTCCATTGCTTGATGTATGTCGCACTGTTGACACTTTTATTTAATGACATCTTACAGAATGTCTACAGCTAAACAAAGCAGATGGCAACCCTACAATAATACAATTAACAGTGCAAGAATTAAAGAATGGCTCTTTAACTAGTATTTAAAGGCGACCAGTATGTAGAGACGATTGGTACATTAATTGACCAGTCTGTAAATTCGCAAATGCGATTGGTATAGTAAAGTCAAGTGCATCTGTTCCTAATATATGACTAACTCATTGTACTGGTTAGATTGCTGTGCTGGATCCAGGCCAGAGCAGTACTGTAGTGCTAATCCCATTGTAGTGAGCATTGAGGCAGAAAATAATGTAGTGGGGGTCTTTGGTCTTGTAAAGGATTTTCAGTGGGATTAGGGCTGACCAGAACTTCTTAAAACTGGTTGGCAGAAAGTAGTCCAGACATAAACAAAGGGCCTTGGAAACCAAAGAAAATAGGGAGGTCATTTAGAGCGCGTATGTAGTGGTACAATCGGAGGGGCTTTATGGTACCATAACGTACTGTATCTTTATGTAGTAGAGAGGGCAGATATGGAAGGTATTTTATTAGGGAAGAACAGTTTGTCATTATTATTGCTTGACATCGGGATAATGTAGTGTGTGCGTAGCATTGCTCGAGGTTATCATGTACTGTATGTATGGAGTACCTTGTCCCTTTTTTTCGATTCACAAGGTCTTCTACAGGCCATAAACAGATGACCTTAAACCACACAGAATCTGACATTGACTGAGTGTGTCAATTTCTCCATGCCTGACCCGTGATTGAATCCTTCCAATAGTTGAACATTGACTAGTACTTATAAAGGATATAATCTCAACATAATATAAACAGGAACTGTTTGTATTATCTTAAATAATGCATTTCAAAACATTAACGCCATAGACTCTGAGGAATTAATTTGCAGGAAATTGGACATCTGGTATTGGCTTTTGGGAAATGACCAGTGTAATTAGAGCTGTTGATGATCTTTGCTAGCGTCTAGCCAGACTGCACTGTAGATCCTCCCTATCTCTCCATGCAGGGCACCAGAAAGGACAGGAGAGGTGTTAAGCAACTAAATCATGAATATAGAAGGTCATTTACAGGGTATGAGGAGGTGGAGAGAGCCAGGGAGGCAACCTTGAGAACACACCGATCCAGGTCCACAATGTGGGAAGGCCGTGTGTTTTTTTCCCAAGTTTTTCAAGTTTTATTTTACTCATATAGCAGTCAATACAAACTGAAATCCATGAGCATACAACATATTAATGGATAAGAGCAACAAAATAAAAAAATAAGAATATATTTGTTTTTAGCAATAATGTCCTGCGGTCTTAAAGTGACTCATTAATCAATGAGCAGAAATATGGGAATGGTGACCTCATGTACCATTCAGTTCTAGACTTTGGTATAGTCAGTTTGTTTTGGCTGCGGGTCACTGTGATTTGTTCAGGGGGTAGACAGTCTCTGAATTGAGAGTTTAGGAGGCTGACAGTGAAGTCAGTGCAGAGTTGTGTCCGTCTTTCATGAAGCAGGGGTAGGGACAGGGTCTGAAGTGCCTCAGTATAACTGGAGTATCCTCCGAGGATGGTGAGGCATGCTCTCTTCTGAATACGCTCCACGTCATCAGACTGGGCCTGGGTCAGTGAGCTGTGCCAAGCAGGAGCGGCATACTCCAGGGTGGGACGTATGTAGCCAGTGTAAATGTTCAACAGGTCTTCCTATGGCACATGGAACCTTTTAAGGCGGCGATGGAGAAAAAGTATTCTGTGAAGGAGAACAGCGCCGGAGAAGATGGCTGCCGTTTTACAGCCCTCTAACCAATTGTACTATTATGTGTGTTTTTCCGCGTTATTTGTAATTTATTTTGTACATAATGTTTCTGCCATCGTCTCTTATAACCAAAAAGAGCTTCTGGATATCAGGACAGCGATTACTCACCTCGTATTGGACAAAGATTTTTTCTTCAACGAGGCGGCCGCCCGACAAGGCCCAAATCCCCCGTCATTCGCGTGAGGAAGAGACAGAGATATTGTGGACGTAGATCGGGGTGCCTTGTAAGGATCCGACGGCGAGCGAGTAAACTGCCTCTTCCATCAATCCTATTAGCCAACGTTCAATCATTTGAAAATAAATTGGATGACTTAAGATTACGGTTATCCTACCAACGGGACATTAAAAACTGTAATATGTTATGTTTCACCGAGTCGTGGCTGAACGACGACATGGATATCATACAGCTAGCGGGCTATACGCTACATCGGCAGGATAGAACGGCTGACTCCGGTAAGACAAGGGGTGGCGGTCTGTGTATATTTGTAAACAACAGCTGGTGCACAAAATCAAATACTAAGGAAGTCTCGAGGTTTTGCTCGCCTGAGGTAGAGTATCTTATGATAAGCTGTAGACCACACTATTTACCAAGAGAGTTTTCATCTATATTTTTCATAGCTGTCTATTTACCACCACAAACCAATGCTGGCATTAAGATTGCACTGAATGAGTTGTACAAGGCCATAAATCAACAGGAAAACGCTCATCCAGATGCAGCGCTCCTAGTGGCCGGGGACTTTAATGCAGGGAAACTTAAATCCGTTCTACCTAATTTCTACCAGCATGTTAAATGTGCAACCAGAGGAACAAAAACTCTAGACCACCTTTACTCCACACACAGAGACGCATACAAAGCTCTCCCTCGCCCTCCATTTGGCAAATCTGACCATAACTCTATCCTCCTGATTCCTGCTTATAAGCAAAAACTAAAGCAGGAAGCACCAGTGACTCGGTTAATAAAAAAGTGGTCAGATGACGCAGATGCTAAGCTACAGGACTGTTTTGCTGGCACAGACTGGAACATGTTCCGGGATTCTTCAGACAGCATTGAGGAGTACACCACATCAGTCACTGGCTTCATCAATAAGTGCATCGATGATGTCGTCCCCACAGTGACCGTACGTACATACCCCAACCAGAAGCCATGGATTACAGGAAACATCCGCACTGAGCTAAAGGGTAGAGCTTCCGCTTTCAAGGAACGGGACTCTAACCCGGACGCTTATAAGAAATCCCGCTATGACCTCCGACGAACCATCAAACAGGCAAAGAGTCAATACAGGACTAAGATTGAATCGTACTACACTGGCTCTGACGCTCGTCGGATGTGGCAGGGCTTGAAAACTATTACAGACTACAAAGGGAAGCACAGCCGCGAGCTGCCCAGTGACACAAGCCTACCAGACGAGCTAAACCACTTCTATGCTCGCTTCGAGGCAAGCAACACTGAAGCATGCATGAGAGCACCAGCTGTTCCGGATGACTATGTGATCACGCTCTCCGTAGCCGATGTGAGTAAGACATTTAAGCAGGTCAACATTCACAAGGCCGCAGGGCCAGACGGATTACCAGGACGTGTACTCCGAGCATGTGCTGACCAACTGGCAAGTGTCTTCACTGACATTTTCAACATGTCCCTGACTGAGTCTGTAATACCAACATGTTTCAAGCAGACCACCATAGTCCCCGTGCCCAAGGACTCTAAGATAACCTGCCTAAATGACTACCGACCCGTAGCACTGACGTCTGTAGCCATGAAGTGCTTTGAAAGGCTGGTCATGGCTCACATCAACAGCATTATCCCAGAAACCCTAGACCCACTCCAATTTGCATACCGCCCCAACAAATCCACAGATTATGCAATCTCTATTGCACTCCACACTGCCCTTTCCCACCTGGACAAGAGGAACACCTACGTGAGAATGCTATTCATTGACTACAGCTCAGCATTCAACACCATAGTGCCCTCTAAGCTCATCACTAAGCTAAGGATCCTGGGACTAAACACCTCCCTCTGCAACTGGATGCTGGACTTCCTGACGGGCCGCCCCCAGGTGGTAAGGGTAGGTAACAACACATCTGCCACACTGATCCTCAACACGGGGGCCCCTCAGGGGTGCGTGCTCAGTCCCCTCCTGTACTCTCTGTTCACCCATGACTGCATGGCCAGGCACGACTCCAACACCATCATTAAGTTTGCCTACGACACAACAGTGGTAGGCCTGATCACCGACAACGATGAGACAGCCTATAGGGAGGAGGTCAGAGACCTGGCCGTGTGGTGCCAGGACAACAACCTCTCCCTCAACGTGACCAAGACAAAGGAGATGATTGTGGACTACAGGAAAAAAAAAAGGACTGAGCACGCCCCCATTCTCATCGACGGGGCTGTAGTGGAACAGGTTGAGAGCTTCAAGTTCCTTGGTGTCCACATCACCAACGAACTATCATGGTCCAAACACACCAAGACAGTCGTGAAGAGGGCACGACAGAGCCTATTCCCCCTCAGGAGACTGAAAAGATTTGGCATGGGTCCTCAGATCCTCAAAAAATTATACAGCTGCACCATCGAGAGCATCCTGACTGGTTGCATCACCGCCTGGTATGGCAACTGCTTGGCCTCCGACCGCAAGGCACTACAGAGGGTAGTGCGTACGGCCCAGTACATCACTGGGGCCAAGCTTCCTGCCATCCAGGACCTCTATACCAGGCGGTTGTCACGGTTTACTAAGCC